AGTATAGTATATTTGACAATTTTCTGAAAACTACAGACTAATGTAGATAAAGTTTAGCAGATATCGAATTTGTGGTTGAAGTAAACCTTATTTGTACTGTTGATAAGAGGTCCCAAAAAGCTAAAAATTGATCTTGTGCGCTAAAAAAAGGAATTACATTCATATTTATAAGCTTTTTACACTTCCGCTTGAAAGAATGTCTTCCGATTTATCTAAATTGTATTATATAAAAGCTAATGTTGAGGGCTACAGTATTACTAAAAATGTTACTTCAAAAACTCACTATAGGCCGCAGTTGTGGATGAAACATAACAAAACCATTCTGGTCAAGCATAAAGAAGTAACTTCGACCACCGATCTGAAATTTTACAATTTGTAAGTTACAATTTGGCTCTTAGAATGATGATAACGCGAAGGACGGCATTAATTTCGTTTTTTAACGCGTTACTTCTAACAAAATCACAAAGGCTTTAAATTTAGGACGGACAACTAAATAATACAAAAAAAATGCGTCCGCTTACATTACTAGGATGAGCTTGCTGATTAAGCTCAGTAAGTGGAGTATTTACAGCAGCCACGCCCATAAATGTCCTGTTAACAATAACTGGAAATGAAACGGTTGTCACAAACATTCGTCCACGAGCTTCAGTCTTTTGGAGACGAATTTTCTAAAAAACATTGGGGAGTTGTACCAGAAAATCCAAAAAAAAATATGATTAGAAGAGCTATATTGAGCTCAAACTCACTCGACGGGCAGCCATTTTATTCATAATGGCGTACTGAAAATAAAAGGCATTATAGCGAGTAATTGAGGAAAAAGTATAAAAAAAGCGACTTAAGTGAGGTAAAGTACGGTGTGTTGCTTAGTAAGGTATAAATCTTACCGACTGGTTAGTGATAGGAACCGGCTCAGCGAATGTTTCAGGACGAGGCAGATACTAAAAACATGTTGGTTATATTCGTTCATGCTTGAATGGCATGAATTATGGCACCAGTTGGAAAGTTTCTAAAACACTTTCAATGAAAATGTTTGTTAAAAGTTTGTTGATGCTTTCTAAATGCACTTCACATTTTTTCAGAAAGAGCGCTTTCGATTTACAATTAGTGCCAAACAAAAATGGTGAGCTTGGATGAAAAGGTCCAGTTAGAGAGCTCAGAATGATGATACTGGTCTTTACGTTAGTCTAGAGAATTCAGAAAAATGTACGATATTTTCACGCGTTTTTCCTCATTTTTGTGTAAAATTTTTCATTTAAACTCAAACTTGCTAATTTGTTTGTTAGGTGTACTGAAACGCTATGAATAAAGCTGAGATCTAGAAGGCAAAAATTTGTTTGAGTTGAGCCTATCACCTACCAGTCGCTCTCGATATACTCCACTCCACATAGCATCATCCACTTGAAGATCTCCAGCATTCTGACCAATTGGTCGTGACATGGTGCGAATATAGTGCTAAAACAGCAATAACAATTAGTATACAGGGTGTCCAAAAATGCACTATTCGATCGTCAATATTTTTTTTTAAAAATTTCAAATCCTTTCTAACTCTAAGTGATTTATTTTTAAGCTTATGCTTGCACTCAGATTTTCACCTATACAACGATTTTACATCT